GTCTTATTTCCATACATGGTCTGAGAGACTGTTTAATAGGACGTCGCTGTTTTAGTGTTAACGTCGTGGTGTTATATTTACGACGACGGTGTTGTTTTAAAACCGTCGTCCTAATGAGATATCACGGCTGTATTTTAGGACATTGTTTCTTTATTATTACGTCATTTCTTATTAATAACCGACGTTGTTTTCCTTGCAGATTAATTAAAAATGGTTTCGAAATCTCAAAACAACGAAGCTCAAGCTTTAGAGGCCAAATCTGTTTCAAAGGCTCAACTAATTGAAGCCAAATCAGTTTCAAAGCCACAAGGGGATGTAGCCAAATCAGTTTCAAAGGCTCAAGTGGAAGAAGAAAAATCAATTCAAAGCAAACGCTCGAAGATCCGAGAAAGACTCGAGCATAGCCACATTTGTTGAGGAGCCAAAATCCGGCCGCGGTATCAGCACAATAAGCCGTGTTGTGAAGAGGAAAATTCAGAAGGTTAAGCCTGTGGTTGAGTTCAATAAAAAGGGCAGACCACATGGCAAGGCTGCTGTTGAGATGCAGTCTTACATTGGTGTTTTGGCACGCACCAGAGTCCCTCTTGTGGACAAGAAATGGACTCAATTGCCCAAGGACGTGAAGGAGCAGATTTTGGAAGCTGTTCAAATGTCCTATGTTATTGGGGATAGGTACAAGAGCTTGGTCTTGTCGTCTGCCGCCAAAAAATGGAAGGATTTCAAGTATAACGTAACTAAGCATTATATCCTTCCATTCGCACATGACAAGGAGAAGTTAAAAGAAACCCCTGCGCTTTATAAGTTCATAGAGAAATCGCAATGGGATGCCTTCGTAGCTTCAAGGTTAACCCCAGATTTTGAAGCTAAGCATACTAAGCAGAAACAGAGGAGGGAGAAATTGGAGTACAACCATAGGTTGTCTTGAAAAGGGTATGTTGGTTTGGAGGACCATTTGATAGAAATCATGCCCGATAATGAAGAAATCGATCTAGCTGTTCTATGGAAGAAGGCAAGAGAAGATAAAACAGGAAACATCCCTGATCCAAAGGTTGCAGAGAAGGCAAAAATAATCTTAAGTCTCACTAACTCTGTTCTAAATTTGAAAAACAGAGTGTTTTATTTTGGTATAGACGTTGTACGTTTAAATAAGCGACGTCATAAAATAAACACCACGACGGGTTTAATTTACCGCCGTTTAAAAATGAATAGGACGTCGGTTTTTGAACAAAGTAGACGTCTAGATAGAATTAATACGACGGATTAAATTCCTCTATGAACTGCATTTTTATTTTAAGTTTACTCATGCACACACTCTCCCTCTCTCTGTCTATTTCACTGAAATTTGTGGTGCACAATTTCTGGAAAATAATGCATATTTCAATCGAGTTTTTTCACTTCTTCATTAAACTTTACGACGGTTTTATCTTATCTAGACGTTAGAATGTTTATACAACGACGGTAATTTTGTGCAGTTGTATGAAATTAAGTCCTACGTCTGTTTGTTCAATAGTCCGTCGTCTTACTCTAAATACTACGACGATTTTGATTTATGTTTTAATCTATTTTATTTTGAATATACGACGGGTTTTTATATACCAACGTGTTAAATTAACACTACGTCAGTAATTGAATAAAACTGTCGTTGTTTATAATTTACAACGTCGGTTTATTTATCTGTTTTACACCCTGCTCAGTTTCTAACAATCTCTCTTTCTCTCCTTTAGGATGATTTGCAAAAGAAAGTCTCCGAAGGCACTCTGACTATCTCCGAGACCAATGATGTCTTGACTCTTGCTTTGGGAACCCCCGAGCATGGTGGGAGAGTCAGAGGAGTTGGTGCTGGCGTTTCCCCAACTCAGTTCTTCAATTTACCAAAACAGCAAAGAGTGAAATTTGGTGACAAATTGAAGGAAAGTGTGAGGGAGGCAGTCAGAGAAGAGACCTTGAGGATTGAGGCGAAGTCAAGGGAAACTATAATGGAAGCAGTAAGAGCAGAGAGGGAGGCTATTTTGGCATATTTCCGTCAACTAGTTCCTAATTTTGATCCCAGCCAGATGCTCAAAACCCCAATTTCTCCAATTCCTCCAATTACTTTACCCCCTCAAGATCAAAGCCCTAAAAATCCAATGTCTGATAAGGCAAGCTGCTCTGGGGCCACTGGTATCAGACCCCTAGCTTTGGAATTAGAAGATCCAAAGCCTGAAGATGATACTGCTGGAAAACAGAAAGAGGACACGGTAAAATCTCTGCTATTTTCTATTTCTGCTTTTTAAATTTTAAATAGACGTCGCTCTTTTTAATATCCGACGTTAAAATTTAAAATAACGACGATATATATTTACCGATGTTAGAAAACAATTATACGTCTGTTGCTTCCAAGAAGCGTCGTGTTTAGTTAAATACCACAACGCTTTTACTTGTTTTGCAAATTATTGGACATTAAAAATAACGACTGTG